AACCACTGCACTACAGCTCCCCGCAAAACAAATAAAAAGATCCCCCGTATCGCCTGAAACAGACTGGCGGGGCAAGTGCTGTTAGCGAGCACCTATGAAGGCCGGCACGGCGCAAGAGGGGGGTGGGTGGCCAGCACCATGCCCGGCCGCCTTTGTCTCCCGAGTGCCAATATTTACACACCACACCAGATACTAATTTGAGGCTGAATGGACCCAGGTGAGGCCCAGAACCGGTTCACTGGTGTTGGCCGTGAGCAGGAATTGAACTCTGGTCGCTGGGTTCGTTGCGCAGCGCGCTAACCGCTACACTACCGCTCCCCACACACACATGATAACACGCAGCTACAAGACATTTAACGTTTCACATACCTCCCAAATATCTGGCTTTTAGACAAAGCCATATAATTCAGACACTTTACTCAGGGAATGCCAGGACATTAGCTGTGATTGTCTAATTAAGCCAATGGACATGCAGAATTAACAAATGCGTTTCCAGCCAATTCCATAACGGAATGCTTATCATTGTGCCCACAATCAAGCCAAGGCACACACGATGGCCGACTTTGTAATGGGCCAGTGCAGTAATATATGGCATCATTTTTGCCGATTTTGTCGTCTTCATAATAATGCCATTCAAATGTTATATGTCGTCAAGACACCAGTGCATCTACAGACTTTAAAAATACTCTCTTGCTGTGACTAAATAATGGCACCGAAGTTGTTATGGATGAAAGGACTTGTTTACAAATGGAATAATCAAATGGGCATCTGAGTGTGATGGCGCACTATTTGTCTGGAAATAGCAGGAACACACACACACTAACCCTTGCTTATTTTGGGGAGAAATTACCAAAAATGAGTGGCTACTTCGGTCCGTGACACTGGCATACATTGTTAGGCTCTTTACGGCAGGCCTGAACATTCTTAATGTTTTCAAGTGGACGGAAAAAGAGCAGCATGCGATGTAAGAATACCTTCTTGTGTGGTCACACCATATACAATGATTAAGGGGTGAGTGTGATGATTAGTGTTAATACAAGACTAGAACAACAGCCCTCACAGTCTTACCTCATAAGTTTTAAAATTGAGGTGACTGCATTTTTTTGGTCATACTTCAAATCATTATTCGCTGTTCTAAAGAAATAAAGAACGCAATGATTGTCTTCTTGGTTCTTTCGGTAAAGTCACGTAGAAGGGAAATAATAAAATAATAAAAATAAAACATAATTAAATAATTCTCACGACGTTTCGGCCACAACGCAAGAGCGCTTTGACAAAATGATTTGCATATCAAGAAATGCAAATTATTTTGTCAAGGCGCTCTTCCCCCTCCAACCCAGCTTAAATATACGCTCCAAGCGTGGGGTGTTTCATTCAGACGATGTCTTCCCAACAGACCTGGTCTTCACCTGAGGACGGCTGCTTGCGTTGTGGTCGAAACGTCGTGATAATTATTTTATTAAGTTTTATTTTTTATTATTTCATTATTTCCCTTCTACGTGACTTTACTGAAAGAACCAAGAAGATGAATCCCTGCAGTCACGAAAGCTTTAAATCGAAATGTAATGATTGTCCATAATAATAGTTTTTTGGGGGGTTAGATCGCTTGTCGTGATATTTTTACGTTGCCAAAATGAAATGGCCCCACAGCTCTCGGCTGCAGGACTAGACAAGCCAACGGGAAACGTTGAATAGGCCGCATTTCGCTGATGAGACACAGCAAAGCTGAGGAAGTCAACAACAGTCGAGGTGTTGTTGTCTTTTTAAACACACTGCTGGCTTCATCTTGTTGTTCTATTTGGCCAATGTTGATTATTATTGTAATCGATATATACTCTGTACTGTACAGTGGGGAAGAGTTTTCGATTAAATAAACGTTTGAGTGACAATGTTGGGATCTTTTGTTGCATTTTGTATCCTTTCGGTGGTGTAATGTCTCTTCTTGCTTACAAGTGACACCACTGTTAGCAGGACAAGTACATATGCGATGTAACGGAAGTGACGTCACGGGCTAGTGATGTCATAATTTCAGACCAATTACTGGTAGGAACCTCCTGGTTACATCAGCCCACAGAGGATTATTGTGTCCGTCCGTCGTGCAAGGAGGGGCTGGGTGGGGAGGGGCTGGTCACCCCGTGGTGCCCTTATAAAACTAAACGTTTAACCTACTCACACCAGCTTGTGCCCACCCTCACAGTCGGCCATATTTACGAAATACACCACGCCGCTGTTGACCCTAGCCATAGACCGAGAAATCCAACGTTTCTACCAGCTCCCTCCGCAGGAATGTGTTTAAAACAAATATTTCCTCGGATTTTTGAAATATTGTATCTGGATCCGATCTTCTGATCTTTCACATTGATCAGCAAAATTGGAGTATATCCCTAGTGTATATAAAACACTGCATATAAAATGCTTCACAATTCACTTCAAAGAGACCCGGTGAGAGCTTGATAATTACAATGTAAACATATCAATCAATTCATTCTATCTTTGATAACAAACATAAAACGTAACACCTTCATCAATAACACTGCCTTAAAATGATTATGAGAAGCATTTCGTTTTAAGGCTGTGTTTTTGACAAATGTATTATATGTACTTGTGCACGACTGCCAATGCAGTATTATTAAATAATTTGATTCATTGTGCCATAGAGTATATATATAATCTACCTATTTGACAAAAAAGTGCGATATATATGCATGCATTTATACGGAGAGTTGTTGGGGTCAAGATGTGATGCTGACTCTTGAAGCAAGCGGAGCTAATTTAAGAAATATTTGTGTTGCTTCTGAGGCTGACTACAAGCTACGATCTCTCCTGGGAGCGTTTTCATCAAGTTATTCATACCAATGCAAGTACAGCTTGAAGCACGTGTATGCACACACGCCATATGCATATATATATATGATGTTATATGATCGCATCATCCCAACACTCATATCCTTCCCACAGGCTCTCAATTGACTCCTGAATAAACTACAATATTGCCCTCACCTGTCTATGAAATCTTCCATGGACTCCTTCCATACATCTTTCCTCTCATCTCACTCTACTCTGTTCCATATGCTTTCCACTCCAGTAATGACTACAACTAACTATTTTTATTTTACCAGGTAAGGCCCACTGAGCTATATATCTCTTTTTCAGAAGCGACCTGGCCACAAATGACAGCGTAATAAAGTGGCTTATCGCGTGGACATTTATAGCAGACAAATACTCTCGAGGGAGAACAGGCACATTTCCAAAAATACAGCGGTGAGGGTTGGGATCGAACCCACGACCTCCTGTATGCCGGGCGAGGTAGTTAACATCTAATGACAAAGCCCTTCCGGCAGCCTTTGCTTGACGGGAAGCTTCTCCTTCTCAGCTGCTGCCCCCACGATCTATAATTCCCTCCCTCTGGCTGTCCACGTGACAAAGAGCCTTCCCATGGTCAAGTCCCAGCCCAAGACCTTCATTCATTTCCCTGCCAACAGCTGACTTCTTGTGTGAATTCCCTTCATTCACATCTCCACTATTTCCCACTGTGTTTTTTGTGTGCGTTTAGTTTATCTTCTTGGTTCTTTCGGTAAAGTCACGTAGAATGTAAACAATAAAATAACAAAATAAAACAATTCTCACGACGCTTCGGCCACAACGCAAGCAGCCGTCCTCAGGTGAAGACCAGGTCTGTCGGGGAGACAGCGTCCTTTTTCCGCACCTCAGATTATCACGGTAGGCTGTGTACGGGTGCGAAAGAAGTTCAACATACATGCATACTCTGCAGTGCTCCACCGGCTCCAAAATATTTTAAATAAGCACCTTGAGATGCGGTCACATATAATAATAATAAAGTGTAATATCATGAGATGACCTGGACGATCAAAGGTCTGAGCACCTAGCTGACATTTCTCAGGTCATGGGTTAAAATCCAGACAGCTGATCGTGATTAAACCGGTTTCTCATTTGTCGTGAGTTGATGGTCTCAGCCCAGACATCAATACCTGCACATACAATAAAACCCATCAGATTTAACTCAGTTCTGCACTTGATTTGGCCAAATGTCAGCTCTGAGACTCGAATTGGTTGACTTGCTACATGACGAACATTGCTCTCACATGCAGAGTGGATGGGAGAGCACGGCCCTCTACTGTGTTGACCAGATGCCAGAGGTCGCAAACGGGTTTTGATTTCTTACCCGTACCCGGCCGCACCAGGGTCACAAATGGGTACCCGTACCCGTACCCAGCCGGGTATGGGTAGCCGTTCCCTACCCGTACTCGTACCCTACCCGAAATGAGTGACAAACGGCTACTCACCAGTGACTCACGGCTTACCCGTACCCGTACCCGGCCGCACCAGGGTCGCAAACGGCTGCCCGTACCCGGCCGAGTACGGGTAGCCGTTCCCTACCCGTACTCGTACCCTACCCGAAATGAGTGACAAACGGCTACTCACCAGTGACTCACGGCTTACCCGTACCCGGCCGCACCAGGGTCGCAAACGGCTACCCGCACCCGGCCGAGTACGGGTAGCCGGGTATCGGGTAGGGTACGGGTATCGGGTACCCGGTTGCGACCTCTGCCAGATGCTACTCGAAGGAATATCGGAGGTGACTCTGCAAATATCTGCTTCTGCAGGATGTTCTCCAACACGGAAGGTTGCATTGCTTAAAGCGCAATCCTAATAGATGCTTTGTCTTGGTGCATAACGACGTTAAGCACATTTGGAATAAAAAAAACCCATTCGGGAATAGTGGACATAGAATCGTTATCAAAACTAGGGTCCCCGTTGCTTTGGTTGTATTCTGAGCCAGACCCAGACTGAACTGAATAAATTCTAGTAAACAGATTGTCAGATATTCTTTGTTTCTTTCGGTGAAGTCACGTAGAAAAAAAAAATTAAGATTTTTTTTTAAATAAAAAAACAAAAACTCACGACGTTTCGATCGCAACACAAGCGGTCGTCATCAGGCAGAGAGTTGAGTGTGGGTACGACCACGAGGCTCCGAGTACCTGGGCCAAAGGGCAGAGGGGAGGAACCGCTCCTGGGTCTCGGCTGGTGCGTCTCGCCAGCGCCCATGAACCCGCCACTCGGCTTGGTGGCTTCCTCGCTCCCTGGGTGAGCTGGGCCGCAGGCCGAGTACGATTCTGCACGGCAAGGGAGGTTGCGGTGAACGCTGGCAATCCGAGCAGGGCGTGGAGCCAATGTAGGCTTGCAACAAAGGTAACTGTAAAAACATGTTATTTTGCTCTATAATTGTAATTTCACTGCAAAGCGCATGAGGCTCAATCTTTCACAAAAGAGAATTCAATATATATGTTCATTTCCGTATTTAGCTAGGTGATACCCCCACTTTGAAATTCATTGTATTCATGATAAGCAGGATTTAGGTGGTCATAATTTTACAGGCATTTATGTATCTCCCTCTCTCAAATGTTGAAAAAAAAAGGTGTCCCCTTGTTCAAACGACTTCTCCATTGGTGGTCCTGCCTCAGTGATGGAAATTCCACATTCCTCTTCTGGGACCAGTCTACCCAAAAAAAAACAATTACCATTTGACTTCAAAATAATTGGTGCAGTCTCACCAGGCAGTGGATATTTTACCAACCCATGAGGGATTATGGGCTGGCATTGATCCTGAGTTGTATTTTAATGTATGCCTTTGCAAATTGTTTTATCAACTCAACAATAGCATGTCCTCAAACTAATGTGGGTGCATGTATAGCCCGTCTCGTGTATAATGGGGTCTTGGTAGTGGGGGGGGGGGGCAGCCAAAATGTTTTGAGAAACTGGATATCGTGCTGTAGAAGCTGATAAATCGAACAGTTTGCAACACTCATGTCCTGTGAATGTGCTTAATTGGCATAACACATCCGATCTCAGCCCTTAGCCCGGTGGTGCAAATGCTGCTTGAATATGGCAGAGGCCATTGCTTCCACGGGATGACCACTGTTGTTGACTTGATGGATGATGGGCTGACTTGATTCCTCGGCTGGACTCCAGAATGCCCAAAAATGCCAGCGCAGGTTTTATGCTGACAACGGCATGGAGAGCCGCTTCTGTTTTTTTTAATTCTACCACGTTAGACCCAATGAGTCCTCTCACTTTTTTTTCTGAAGCGACCTGGCTGCAATTGATAGCTCAACGAAGTGGCTTATCACGTGCAAATTTAAAGCAGCCAAACACACATGCTTTGCAACATGCGTTTAGAGCCCATAGCCAGTTGTGGAACTTTGACATTGCGATGGCAGGAGTGAGTGCGTCCACAAATCAACCGCAATGTTACATGTTAGTAATTATATATCTATTTATATTGGAATAAGGCAATAACAAAGCAATTCGCTGTGCTGGTGAATAATGTTTCTCTAATGTCCTCGTCGCAGCAGATGTTGTGCTTTAGGAACAGAAAGTAAAAGTGCAGCACTGAAATGTTTTACTCATGCCACTGACGGCGGAAGGGCCTCGATTAGAGATAGTATTTGGCCTACTCTTCCATAATGGCCAATCATTTTGGAACAGGTGGGTGCGCCCACAAGCTGTGTTAATGCTCCATATAAATTAACATGAATTGAGAGAACAATGTTGTTCCAGTTGAGAAATCTTTGTTTTACCAGCAGACCAAATTCTGCTGCTGCTGCGTAAACAAAGGCAAGGGTGGATAAGGAACCTTGACCAAGCCTTAAGTGACTTTGACCTGAAATCTAACCCTATTGCTTTTGATATCCAATGCAATATGCTACCCATTACTACATAGTGGCTCGTCGCTTTTATAAATTAATGTGCAGAGATGACATGAAGACTTGATGACAAAAATATAATCATGATTTATAGGGTAAACTTTAGGGCTCTTGAGTGTGATGGAGTTAATGCATATTTTACTTGTCAGTTTGCTAAAATTACTTTCAGGATTTGGTCCTTGCTATAGCGAATGCTATAAAAATAGGTGTTACATTAATGTGAAATGCTATTATTTACAATATGACTGTGTAATCTATGATATGCGTTAAGCACATTCTTAAATGGGAAAACTTAAATGAACACACAACACATATATTTATCTAAATGAAGCAAACATGTACAGAGACTTTAAACGGGGTTGTGCATTGCATGCCAAAAAGAACATGGTGAATTTGATAATTACCTTGGCTATCCTTGACTGATTAGATTTTTTTTTTACTTAAAATGACTGTGGTGAAAATTATACTAGCATACAAATGACTACACTGCCAATAATTAAACGGAGTTATATTCCATAATTGGGATTTTTATCGAAGCAACGTAAAACATTTCAAGGTTGACCATTTAAGGTTACCAGCGGAGAGAGATTTTCTCGTTTTCTTTTGTGTCACCCCTGCACGATGATGGCACATTCCCAAACACAATCGACCATCGACTGCATAACATAAGAATTTGGATTATACCATTTCATTTCGGGGGGGTTATGCAAAAAAAATTACACTAATGGTAATACAGTATCTCTATTTATCTAAGAAAGCCTCCCTGACATTGCTGAGTGCAATCGACTCGCATGCATGGGTTTTCTCCAAGTGCTAAGGTGGTCTCCCATACCTGAGTATATTGAACAGGCGATTGGCGAAATCATCCCATAATTACCCAAGGAAATAATTGGCATTTCAGATGATGAATGACTGAATGAATGACTTAATGAATAAATTAATCTCACACGTTAAGTTGTCCAAGATGTAATCGTATGCTCCACAATCTGCTATACATCTAAATTTGCATCTTTGCTCATTTATTCATATTTATGTACACATCTCGATCCATATTCCTCATTAGCATATACTATTGTATAGAAGGCCTCGTTAGCATATTTCTCTGAGATTTTTCTGCGCACTCTTTTAATTAAGGGGCACGCATTGTGCATGTTAAAGTGCGATGACGCAAGCCAATGTTGTCGGTGGATCTTTCTTTTGCTGGATGCAGCGGCTTGCCCGAGACGATTATTGACAGCGAATACCATGCCAGCATCGTCGCCAACAAACTCTCTCTCATCAAGGTCAGTGGGGTCACCACGACCGATGTCCGTGATGCCACCACACATCGCCATTGCTTCTGCCACTTGCTTCAGCTTGCTGCACGGTTGACACCAAAACTCCAAGGTCTGCTCGTGTGGTCTCCCAGCAACTGGCTTTCGGTCTTCTCCTCGGTAGCCAATCTCTAGGAGCCCTTCCAACGTCTCTTTCATTAACACGCCCTCATCCATTCCCGCTCATCGCATCTTTTCATGTTCTTCTCTGAACTTACAAGTTGCTTACCCTATCCTGCAACGACAATCCTAGCAACCTCCACACGTACCGTGGCTTGTTAACATGTAGGTGTTTGACCATTGGCTTGATATACACAACCACAGTATCGCACATTGAAAGTCCCAACGTACGTCTAATGAGGAGATGGAGTGATTAAATCAGCTCGTGTTTGGTAGATTGTTGTATAGTAGGGATCGTGAGACACCGAGAGAGCTTGGAGAGGCCCTGATCCAGCAGTACAATTATCATGTCTGTTGTTGGTGATGATGATATTTCGAAATATAGCATGGTGGTCGATGACGATGATGATGTTAAGGTATTTTAAATGTGTCCTTCACCGCTGCCATAGTCATCCCTGATGTATTATTAGAACTGAACAAACACAAATTGAGATTCATATTATTGTGCTTCGGGGGTGAAAAGTTATATTTGTCTTAAAGTATGAGCACTCCTTTTGTTTTACAAACACCACGATGCCATGCAGGCCGACTTGGTGTCCCCTCCCCTTCAATAAAGTCTTGTTTATGGAGTTGGCTAATTGTCTCCGGCTTAATTAGTGGCAGTGTAATTGGCGGCATAAGCCTCCAATGCACGTTCTAACGAGCACACCCGGCATTGGTGAGAACCCAGTGATCACAAACTTACTGACGGCTTGAAAGCAGGATCAGTCGGGGGAATGTATGTGTGTGTGTCATAGTGGGGCTTAATAATACGTTGTTGCTAATGGCATTTCCCCATATGGTCTAAACGTCTAGATGGGTGACCTTTTAATCTCAGCAGTGGTGGAAGCAATGTTTGAATGCCTATCAATACATTCCCAGCAACCTGAGTTCGATTCCTCACTATGCAAAAACATCAGTGGACAGCGATATTCGAACCTATCCCGAGCCTCCTCTAGATTGACTCAGCCTTAAAAAAGGTACGTTGTTGCAGTGTGGGAACATCTGCACTGGGGAGACCAAATGTGAGCCAGGTGTGTGTGTGTGTGGTGGCCACGCCATTCCACAACAGGCATTCACACACAGCAATTGGGCCTGTAGATTAGGATAGGCTATAGGACCAATTGTGTGCATATGTGTGTGAACACGCATGTGTACGTATGTTTTTGTGTATTGCAGAGCTAGCACACTGCCACGAAGCTGGTAACCTGAGTTAAATATCCGGCCATTCCTATCTGACTAGTCCTGTGCCTTGCCGAGGTCGACTTAGCCTTAAATGAGTCTCTGGAGATATGCGTAAAACGTGAGCTTTGGGGAGGCCAAGGAAGTTGGCCATAGTTCTGGCCGCAACCCTCCCGGGCGTGCGCCATGCACGACTTAACGGGTGTTTCACTAACAGCCCTTGACCCCAAAAGTCGATAAGGCGGATCAGGGAATCTTTGTTTTGTGAGTGTATGTGTACGTGTAACCACTCCATCTGAGACGCACGTCGGCTCTATTCCCCACACGGTCACGATTGCGTTGAGAACGTTAACAAAGTCGTTGGGATGCATCGAGAGAGGGCAGCGGTCCTTAATGAAGCCCGGTAGGCCTGAGTGCACGATGAGCTCGCCGGAGCCCATAGTTTGAGTCAAGCAGCTGCCCGATAACACTGGTCAACACACTTTTTCTGGCATTAGGTATTCCAACGGTTTTAAGGTAATTTTGGGGTGCTGATTCCAAATCTGGCATCAGTTTTTGTCTATCACATCAGGTTTTTGAGATATCAAATATTGCATTTTCAATAAAAACTGCAGAAGAAAAATATTAAATAAATGTGGATATCTACATAAAATGATATTATAAACACACTATCCTAAAAATACAGCATCATATTTTAACCCTAAAGCAGTCACCGACTCGCAACAACTTGCAATCATAAGTGACAGAGTTAATTTCGGGTAAATCAATGAAAATGGGGTATGCCGATAGCATAAAAATGATGTGATAGAGAAAATCTGAGATCAGATTTGGAATCAGCTGCAAAAGTCCAGGCCAGAAAAAAAGGATTTTTTTTTGTTGACCAGTGTAATTTCTGCGGGGAATTCACCCCTGAGAGTGTCATCTGCTGCACCGTGGACGTTTAACAAATGAACGTTTCCCCCCTTCCCCCACCACCTTCTTCCCTTCCCATTTAAATCTTCATCTCCCCCACCCCCCCCCCCCCCCCCCCCAGTGCACGGGGTTCAGAGGGCCCTGCATTCCTCGTCGCCCCCCCCCCCCCAATGTCGTGCTGTCCCGTCGCGCCGCATTGGAAGCTTCCGCGGATTCTCTGCAACCCCTTCGCTGAAGTCCTTCGGCGTGATGTACCGGGCTCGTGTTTTGTTGCAATAAAATAAAATAAGATTTTATTGACCAAAACCTCCCAAACAGGGGCCTTCCTCGTAAGAGAGTCTTCAAACCCAGTGAGACCCTGCTAGGTAAATAAAGCACTAGTTTGACTTACTTATTCTAAGCATCATCTTTATTGGACAAAGTGAACAATGGTATTGTTGGAAAATAACGATTTGTTCGTCAATTGGCTCAAGGAACTGATCGAATATATGTTATATATTTATAATGATGTAAAACCGTTATTTTTAATTCGTGTGAAATAAATGCATCGCTGGAATTGATAAATTTTTAAAATATAACATTTGTTCTTGCACATGTTATTCATATTAATTTAACTGAGATGCGTTGTGGGTTTGTTTATATGTTTATTTATTTATTTGTATTCACTGAGATACCTTTTTTTGCAAATCTTTATTTGTATCCACTTCAAGTCTCCTTTGGGTTCCCACCTAATTCAATTTCAAATGAATGTGTGATGCATGTCATATGTAAGTATGTTCATTAGGGTCAAGCTTATGAGGTCATCATCATCAGTTCTACTGATGCCACCCCACCTCGGCTATCGCTTCCCCACAATCCCAGTCGAACGATATCGCCCAAGCGTAACTGTACAAAATTATCCAAAACTACATCAATAATACCAGTGACATTTATCATCTCTCCAGGCTGGTAGTTAGCGATGGTCGTCCAATTGAGAGACTGGCAAGGAGCATGAACCATCACGCCAACTCCAGACATTCTCGCCGCAGCGGCTTTTTGCTAGCGATCTAACAAAGACGGTCACTGCATCGCGCGGCGCTTTCACATGCGCTTCTGCGGCCGTCTGGAACGCTCTCTTCCTTCCAATATTACGAAGCCACTGAGCCTGTGCACTGAAGCTATACACCTAGACTGAAAATTTATTTTACATTAACTGATTTTTGTCTCTAATTTGTTGTCCTTTCCCCCGCACCCCCGATTATCACGGTTGGGTACGTACGAAAGATGTTCAACATACATGCATGTGAAATTTCCACTCCTAGTTCAGAGCCACCGCGGAGAGGCTTTGACCATTTCACCTCTTTCAGGTCCTCCGGGCGAAGGAGTTCCATCTGGAAGTCGCCCGGCGCAATAGAACTGTAGGTGCGCTTGAAGGTTCCGCTCACTTCGATACCAGATCCCACACGCTGTACATGGAAACACGCTCCCTGCACTCACGTAAACAGCAATAACAACAACCACAGAAATTGCTTTGCATGCATCGTAAATCGCATTGTGAGGAATGTCCTCCAGCACATCTACAGAAAGATGTGTCTGTCCAAAAGTAATTCATGTTCCACTTCACTTTTTGCTCATATTCATTTCATGTTTCTATTCCAACTTTATTCCATTGCTGCTGTCAGCATCATGTAATGAGACGACGTTAACTGTCTGTGATCATCAGAGAGTAGTATCTCACCCTGTGCGCTCGGGAACAGTCCCAGGTATCGTAGACTTACTTTTTGACATCTCTGCAATCGACCCTACAAACCACGTGGATCATTTTTCCCAAATTTAGTCGCGAATATTTATGGAAATTAAGCTGTTGCGATGGCGTTTTTAACCATCGCTGGGGATCAGGCTGAGACCATCAACTCGCTATCAACTCAGTGGTTTAAACACTGAAACCGGAATTTAAATTATCTGATCTTAGGAGCACTGGCTCATTGCTTAGGAGTGCCCGCCCACCTCCTATTTTGTGAATTTAATGTTTTAGGACTTTAACACTTTTGAGTTTCTTTAGACCACTAATCAAATTCCGGTTGAGTTATCTGATTCGAAAGGCCCATGTAAAGATGTGTCCCCGGAACATTATACACATGTTATCTCTCAAGGCAAGGGCTAGGTAGCATCTAGTGTAAAATCAAATCTGCACGATTTTCTAAATTAAAGCTGCACGACACTTGAGAGCCTGGTTTAATCAGAGTAACATTTGAGCAGTGTCGGCTCAATGCATACCGTGGCCATTATGAGCCCCGATAGCCACCGATCCACCTCTGCATTCCTTTGTCCAATTACAAAAACAATTCAAATTGTCCCCGTGCTCAAATCAGCATGGGCATTGCTCATCTCCATCGGTGGCTCCGAGCCACCTTGCCACGACAGCAGCCGCTCTGTTCACTCTCTCAAAAGGAAACGCAGTGATCGAACACTAGAAGCATCGTCCACCTAGGGTTGCCACCTGTTCTGGTTTTCCCAGGACATCCTCTTGTGAAAGTAGCTGCTGTCACAGGACATTTAAAGTCCCGTTTCTTTCTGTCAATTAACGTAATAGCACACCGCTCACGACAATGCATTTGTTCAGAATGCAGCTCCCCCTTCTCTTGTCGTGGTATTGCGAGGTATTGTTCTTCCCGTAGCGGCCTGTTGTGTTGTTGCTCTGGTTGTTGTACCACCACAGAGGTGGCAACCCTGCGCGTCCACCGCCAGCATTAACGAAAGCCCCAAGCGGAACTCACGGTTGATGGGCGAGGGCGGAACGATGACTCCGAGCTCAGGAGGCCTGGGGGGCAGCAGACTTAGACACCCCAGGAGTGGGTGGCGTGGGGCAGGCGCTCCCAGCTGGGGCAGCAGTGCCAGGCTCGGGGGCAGTGGGAGGTGTGAAGGGCAGCTGGGGTCCGACACCACGCAGGCCACCAGCTCCTCGCCTGCCGGCACCGAGCACGTGATGGTGCACCACACGCCGTCTCCTGCGGAGAGAACGCACGACCCTGCAGCACGCAACAACATGGCCGTGCCGTGCGAGGCCGATTCTTGGGCTGAGCGGAGCGCAGTCGCTGAGAGTGGTGTTTCTCAAACGTTTTAGGCCTGCGGACCATTCAGCTGATGCAAATGTTTCTGCGCACGAACCAGCAACCAACCCCTGGTGACAAGACGCATTCACTTATCTGTGTAAATACCAGAAATACAAAATGATTCATATTATTACGGAGCATGAAAACATTTTTTCTTTTTAAATGTTGTGGCTTGGCTCTCCAACACACCGGTGTGCTGTACTAGTGACGAATTGACACGTTCTGTTTACGTGACAACCCTTACTAGTTGGCTGTTTCGGGTGGTGGCGGGCTTTAACGACACATTTATATATTTACGCGATCTAACCCAAAAACCTCTATTATGGATTTTTTAAAACACAGCTAAGAGGTTTGTTTTGAGAGGGGGGGGGGGGGGTCAGCATTTAGATCTTATAATTAGAGTAGCTTAATCAGGGTAGTTTACTTTCCTTAATTTTGTAATTAAATATAATGAGTAAAATATAAATGAATGTCCGAAACAAAAGGTATAAAACATCATTGGACCTCCTTTGCCAGTACCAAAATATACTAATAGGGTTTTTCCCCTTTTTTCTGGCAACAAAACTGACGCCTTTTGGCGTCATCTGGTCGAATACCATATGAGACGAGGCTCTAAAGAAAGCTGTCTCTGGTTTGGACCAATCCGTTTCAAAGACAATGCATAAATTATCAGAGTATTGTTTTTTGTTTGCATTTGACTGCAAGTATTGTGGTTAATGTAAGCATGATTCCTTGCAAAAGGTGTCAGTTTTGTTGCCAGAAAAAAAGAGGAAAACCCCTATTAGTAAAAGGTATAAAAGTTGTCATTAATCCCGGATCAGCCTGCATTTGCATCACAGCCCCACGGACCACGTGGAGGACTGCCGGGGACCACACTTCTAGAACCACTGCCTGAGATGGAGCCAGCAGGAATCGTTTCACAAGCCTCTGGCTCTGCCGATGAGAGCCAGAAGATCTAAAACCGGTCCAGACATTGCTTACTAAAACAAATACTGCTGGTTAATATTGATTTGAGAAGCCAGTAGGTCAAATAATAATAATACTTATTTTACTTGTATGTGTATGTGGAGACACAGAACAGAGGTCTTGGCCACGTGTTAATATTTGTTGGTATTTCTTGGCTCTATCCCATGTGAGTGTTGACTTGGCGTAATCCCTCCAGTGTTGATCAAATGAATACCGGCTTGTTGATCGTACAACAACGGTTGCCCTCGCGAGATTCTGGCTCTTGCCATATGAATGTGGAATTTCCACCACTGGCTCAGGATCCTAAAATGAGATGAATGTCGCCCAATGCTCGTTGGGGAAGGGAGACACATTTTGGACTGTCTGGAGAAATGGCTCAGATTACCGGGAAAGACTCATCGAGGAAACCACGAACCTATTTTTATTTTACCAGCTAAGGCCCACTGAGCTGCATAGCTTTTATTCAAAAGTGACCTGGCTACACAAATGATAGCTCAACAAAGTGGCTTATCAAGTGGAAATGTATACCAGCCAAATACTCTAAACGCAAGTTGATTCCAAACGCGGAGAGAAAAACTGGACGTCCCCGAGAAAAATCCACACGACCACGGGGAGAAAATGCTAATTCCAAATTTACAGGCGTCAGGGTCGAACCCACAACCTCCTGTTCATCAGGTGGGGTAATTGACATCTCTCCACCGTGCAGCCCCACGGTGACGAGTTCGTAGAATGAGAGGGGCCTGTCTTTGACTGCGTGTCGAGGATAATGCCAGTTGTTGAACTACAATGATACAACCCTTAAAATACAACACACAAACCTAAAACAAGTACACACTTATATAATGTTCTCAAATGAGCAGGTGATCATCTGTGCTGTGGAAACCTGACTCAGTAGGAGAAATTACAGATTCCCTTGGTGGGTGCCCCAATATGCTCACCCAACACACATTGTTGACTCCCAACAAAGTGGTAAATACAGAAGCATTTGTAAAAAAATAGACATGCCATGTGTTTGTCACAATAACATAGCGCAGCTAAAAATGTTCTAAATCCTGCAGGTTCCATCCGCAGCCGTCAGGGTAGCTTCTCCCCCTAATGCTCTGCATTGCCTCGAAGCAGCTTTTACTTCATTGTCAGTGGGCGCACCGTGGGCTGCTGCCTGCCTGTTGAACGTCTTTCTCACCATACGTAGCCAACCGCGCTCATCGGAGGTGATGATATCAACGACGACAGCCACCTTTGCCGCTCAAGTGCGATGATGTCACCACAGCGCTCATGCCAGGCTAGGTGCACTTTGATGACGATACCATCACAATGCTCACACTCACCGATGTAGCCCGGCATGAGCGTCAGTCATTGACAAGCTCGACAGGGTCTCAGAGATTAGCAATCGCATTGCCACTGGGCAAGAAAGTGAAGATGAACAGTGTGTGGCTAAATGTGTTCGTGTGTAGGCCTACACATGTGTGTGTGCACATGTGTGTACAATGCAATGTGGGGAGAGGTAGTGCAGCGGTTAGTGCGCTGTGCTATTAACCCGGCGACCCGAGTTCGATTCCGTTCATGGCCAACACCGGTGATGATTATCTGAACCGGTTCTGGGCCTCCCCTCGGTCTACTCAGCCTCAAATGAGTAACCTGTGCAGTGTGTAAAGATCGCCACTGGGGAGACAAAGGCGGCCGGGAATGGTGCTGGCCACCCACCCCAGTGTGTGCCATGCCGACCATCGTAGGTGCCCACTAAGCACTTGCCCCAAGAGTCTGTTAAGGCTAAATGGGTGATCTTTGTCTTGTACAATTACAATTCCCTCCAATCTCTATGGACTGGGTTCAATGGCTGGCCATGAGAGGTGCCACCACGTGCATTGCCCATGGTATCTGAACCTTTTCTGCATGGGCTTCCTAGAGCTTGGCGGGAGAGACAAGAGTCAGCCGGGTATCCCGGCTGGCTACGCGAGCCCTTGCCACGCCGTGATGGTCTACAGAGGGGTGCTCAGCAATAACACTTCGGGCCTATAAGTCTAAATGTAGGGTGCTCTTGCTTGTACGTGCGCGTGTGCATGTACATGTTCGCGAAGGTATGTCTATTTGTTTGTGCGCTCTACGTCGCACTGCAATCACGGCGATTCAGGTGCCAATCGATATCAGAACTTCGTTCAAAGCCAAGCGGCCCTTAATTGTGTCCCCGTGACAATGTGGTGGTTAAAGGAGACTGCGTGTGTATTTAATCTCCCCGAGAATTTGAATCCAGGTCTCCTTCGCAGATTAAACTTATTGTCGCAATACGCTCTCGCCCAGGAACACCAAGGCTTACTGAATGACCATCTGAATTGCCACTGATTGCAGCCTGCAGAGCATCCGCTGTCAAAGAAATGAGCAGACCTCAGAGTTCCTTTCTTCCACACCTTGGCAAGTACCGTCGTAAATTGCATTCTCAAACGCCGACTGGCACCCGCATTTGAATTGCCTGCGTGAATGGGGACTTTATAAGAATGCGAATGACGGTGCTCTGCGTGTACGCTTTAAGTGTAAATAAGCGCTTACACGTGTCATGTTGCCTTTGATGATCTCTGTGTTGCCTTTCCGGCTCCGCTCCAAACTCCTGGAGATATTTTCGCTGCGAAGCCTAGGGGTTGCGATGCCATTTTCGGAAGATGCCGCTTGATTCCTTGACATTGCAAGCTCGATTCATCCCTGCCACTGCGGGGTTTGGAGTGCAATTTACCACGCCGCTTTTGGATGGATGTACGTGGTTCCATACATCTGGCATTTGAAGCCAATACCATATCAACTAAGCATTACAGACTGACAGCCATGCGAAAGTTTTGCAAGTTCAAATCCTGGTTTGAAGCTCGACTAATGCCATCATTCTTCCATTGTCGATGATTACCCACTTGATAAAAAGTTATCAGTAGTCGTATGGGCAAACTCGCCTTGCCAAATGAATGTGGAGTTTCCACTCCTGGCTCGGGTATACCAATGGAAGCTGTTCGACACACGCTATTCCTTTAAGGAGACAGATACTCTTTGTAATTGTAACCTGAGTCGCTGTTATGTATATGTTATTATATACTGCAAATGTATGTATTATTCATGTACTATAGATCAGTCTAAGATTACGCAACAAATTGCACCCTTTGCAATTCCACTGGTGGATCAAGGGCTCCACCCGTTGTGTCGGTCATACTTCACAGCGCTGCTCAGTGCAAGTCGGTAAAGAGGAGGGCCACTCGGGACAATTCCAATATTAGTCTCCACCGATGATCGCCGTGGCCGGGAATCAAACCTGGATCACCAGGCTCACAGTAGAGTGTGCCCATCACGATGTACGTGTGTATTCATGTTGACCTTCTTTCGCACCGCATGTAGCCAACCGTACTGACCAGAGGGGCGGGCAAAGACATATCAGCACTCCATCCCACACATAAACACAACAATGACAAAAATTCCCAGTATGGAGTTTGCATGTTCTCCCGATGGTCGCGTGGATTTTTCTCCGGGTCCTCCGGTTTTCCCCTCCACATTTAGAAACGTGCGTTTAGAGTATTTGGCTGCTATAAATGCCCACATGGTAAGCTACTTCGTTGAGCAATCATTTGTGGTCAGGTCGCTTCTGCCTGGTAACATGAAAAATGTGTTAAGTTTCTAGATTTGAAGCTTTCGTGACTGCAAGTATTCATATTCTTAGGTGTTTTCGGTAAAGTCACGTAGGTAAAGAATTAAGATTAATGAAAGTAAAATGAAAATAAAATAAAAATCACGACGTTTCGGAGGCAACACAAGCTTCCACCCTCCCCCCCCCTCAACCAGTATATATACGGAGTGGTATCTCTTGTAATCTCTCATTTACTTGATACAGCTGTCGGGCTGTGACGGTTCCACCTGAAGACGGAAGCTTGTGTTGCCTCCGAAACGTCATGATTCTTATT